TGCAATTGGTTATGTGTTATAAGTAAGCTTGGTTTATATTTGTTAGGATATTTGCTTTCAACTCGTTCTAACTTTCTTTTTCTTTTTTTTTGTTTTGTTTTTGTTTGACTTTAGGAACAATCTGATCCAATTCGTACAAAAAATGAAGAAAGTGAACAAGATCCAAAGAAGGTATTTATATGAGTTTTCTGGAAACCAATATTAATTTTTTGTTCATTTTTAGAGTTCTTCTCAGTATGATGCATAGAGGCAAGTGGCCATATGTGTGCTTTTGCATTACTCATATGCATCTCATGAATATAGAAAAAGTATTTTATGTAAATGTTGGTCTTTGGTTACTGCAATCTTGTGAAACTCATATATGATAAATATGTAGATATTTCTTGTGAGCAGGAGTATTATAATTCTTAATTTTTTGCTCATTTGTCAAATGAGCAATTAATTTTTTTCTCATTTGTCAAATGAGCAAAAACTTCAATGCTCATATAAAGTTCAATTTGCTCATTTTTATATGACTTTGCTCATTCCATATCCACTTTGCTCATTTCATATCAACTTTGCTCATTTCACATTTACTCTTCTAATTTATATTTATCTTATTTATGTATTTTTTTATTTTTATTTTTTTTTACATAAATGCCTTATGGAGCTTGCAACAACATCTACAAACCTGGTCTTGGCATACATGTATTTCTGTCAAAAACATGAAACTGCCATCAAGTATTTTCCAAACAACGAGAAGATACAAAAGTTGAAGGAAGATGCCATGGGCATTTGTGATGAGCATAAGATGAGCTCCAAAACTTTGACTGAAGATAATACTCTTTCATTTAGCCAAGATGAAGAGTATTGACAAGATCCAGCAGTAATTGAAGCTTGGGATAGGTTTTATGAGATTTGAAGCAACAAAAAGCATGTTGAATCTTCAATCAATGCAATGGTTGTTCATCCAAAAGAATCGGAACCCATTGATGTTACTAAGATTGCTTCTGAAAGTGTTCAGATAGCAAGTTGTATCCCTGATGTTGGATGTTCAGATAGGGCTGCTAAAAATGTGTTCAAAAAAATTGGAGATTCAAGTTTCAAATCTGCTTCAGGACGTTCACTTGCCAAAGGATCTGGAACTCCAACATTCAGTTTAGGAGTCTTTTCTCAAGAAACGGATTCTCCCCCTAGCAATGCGCCTGCTGAACCTGTAGTTGCTTCTGTCAGTGCACAAGTTGGTGCTTCTATTCCTGATGCTTCTCAAGCTGTTGGTGATGCTCTGAATGCTAATCCTCAAGATCTCATTTCTGATGCTCAAGAAGCTTTAATTGTGCATAAGAGAAAAGGTGATACTAAAAAGAAGAGTTCTATTCCAAAGAAACGCAAACCTCAGCCATCAGTGCTTCTTAGATCACCTTTTAAGTCCCGCATTATGATAATTTACAATCCATTATCACCAGTTCAGATGAGCGTCTTGAGAGCAATGTTTGCTGATGATAAAAATCGTTTGTAAGTATTTTTTTATCTATAGAATTTATTATCTTGTACATTAACTTCCATTTGTTTTAGTCATACTAACTTTCTTTATTCTTTTTATGCAGTGAACCAGTATTTAATGGAGAGAATGGTCTTGAAATTTTGAGATTACATCTTGAGAATCTTTATAATAAATATAAAGTTGATACAGAGATCATTAATGCTTGGTGTAGCATTATGAATTATAATGAGCAGTTTAGAGATCCAAATTCTCCTGCTCGTTTCTTTTTTGACCTTAGTGCTATCGTAAGTTCAAATTCTTTCATTTATTTTGTTTTATTGAATTATTTTGTTTTTTTATTGTAATTGATTTTTTTTCTTTAACATGTAGGACTGTCTTATTCACTATGAGATAGATTCTGTTGCCCATCGGAATAAGATGTTTTTTGAGGTTGCTGAGAATTTGTACATGAAATCAGTTGTACCACACAAGGATATTCAGCTTTTTTCTTCCCAGTTTATGAAGAAGATCATTACTATTTGGTATGTTTCAACACCACCACACTGAATGGTAATATCGAGCTTTTTTATTATAACGAAGATGCTGGAGATCATAAACAACTTTTAAAACATTTGGTATGGCTTAAAAGTTAATCTCTATTCACATTATGTTTGTTTCTTTTACTTGAATGATCAGATTTTATTATGTTTGCTTATTTGATGTTTTTATTTTCAGAGAACTTCTTTTTCAAACTTTATTCAATGTGAAGGAAATGTACAGAGTTCTATTTTGGCAAATGATATCAAGCGGATGGAAATTTCTGTGATTAATGGTTCATGGAAGTCTTCGGATAAAAATCATTTGCATTGTGGAGTTGCAGTGATGAGACTCATGGAAACATACATGGGTTGTGCAAAGTGGGATCCTGGTTTAAAGAAAAATAATGTAAGTCTTTCAGATTAGTCTCATTAATAATAGGATGTTTTGGTTTATTTGCTTACTTGTTCATTTCATAAATGAACAAAGAAATGTTTGCTCATTTCACAAATGAGCAACTAATTCTTTGCTCATTTGAGAAATCAGCAATTAACTTTTTAATTATTTGCTAAATGAGCAAGAAATTACTTGCTCATTTATCAAATGAGGAAAGAAATGTTTTCTCATTTGACAAATGAGCAAGGATTTACTTGTTCATTTCATAAATGAACAAAGAAATGTTTGCTCATTTCACAAATGAGGAACTAATTCTTTGCTCATTTAAGAAATGAGCTATTAACTTTTTGATTATTTGCTAAATGAGCAAGAAATTACTTGCTCATTTATCAAATGAGCAAAGAAATGTTTGCTCATTTGACAAATGAGCAAGGATTTACTTGTTCATTTCATAAATGAGAAAGGATTCCTATCAAATGTTTACTTTAATTTTGAGGTCTATGGTCCATTAATCTAGCAATACTGTAGGCCATTGCCTTACAAGTTACAACTGCAACTTGTGGTGTTACTTTTATATGTTTGCTCATGTTATTGAAATCTCCTTAATTGTATAGGGTTTGATTATGTTATTTGTTTTGCAGCTGATAATCTTGACTAAACATCGTGAAAAGTACACCCTGGGAATAATTACAAGTGAAGTGAACACTATTCAATCTGTTAAAGAAATTGCTCAGAAGAAGAAAAAGCAAAGTAAAGTTTCTATTGCTGACAAAGAAGAAAATGCTGAAAAAGAAGAACCTGAAGAAGAAAAATTTCAAGGAAGAAAGAGCAAAAGACTGAAGAAAGCTGAATGTTAGGGAATTAAATAGTTAGTAGTAATGATTTGTCTTTTTTGGTTTAGGGAATTGGGTAAATTAAGATTTTATCTACTTTTAAGTAGTCTTTGAATGATGTAAAACTGATTTATAAACAGATTTTACCAATAGAAGCCTACCCTTTTTACTATAGTGATGATTATATTTGAATTAAAATTCAATCTTTTATTTGTTTTTACTTCACATACCTTGTTATATACAGCCAGTGTTTATTTGAAATATTCGTTCATTTGTTAAATGAGCAAACAAATGTTTGCTCATTAAATGTTAGATCAATGAATTCTTGCTCATTTGATAAATGTTCAAAGAATTTCTTGCTCATTTGATAAATGAATAAAGAAATGTTTTCTCATTTCACAAATGAGCAACTATTTTTGCTCATTTAAGAAATGAGCTTTTACCTTTTTTGATTATTTGCTAAGTGAGCAAGGAATTACTTGCTCATTTGATGATTGAGAAAAGATATGTTTGCTCATTTGACCCAACGAGAACTGATTTTGGACTGGGAGATGAAACAAGAGTGCAATTGTTCCAAGTTCATATAATAACTAATTTGCTCACTTGCCAAATGAGAAAATAATTATTTGCTCATTTGACAAAATGAGTAGTTAACTATTTGCTCATTTGATTAATGAGAAAGGAATTATTGCTCATTTAAGAAATGAACAAATATTTAGTCACTCATTTGAATATGTTCTATTTTCAATTCAACAATATTGCAAAGCATTAAGCTATGATTAGTACAAAATTAATAATATATTATTAAATATAAAAATTCAACAAAATCTTATATGTATATAGAAGTACCATTACACTTTTTTTGGAAAAATTCTAATATCACGATGACTCAATTCACCACAACCTCTACATAATCTCTTCTTTTTTTGGTTTTGTTCTACAGCCTTTTCTTTTTCTCCCTTAAGCCTTTTTGCACTTCTACCTCTTGTTTCAACATTTGACACATCAGTCTCACTCGCTTTCTTTTTTGAAGTCTCTTCATTTGATACATGAACTCCGGTCCCTTTATTCTTTGAAACTTTTGGAGGTTTGACAATTATTTCAGTTGGCACACTAGCTCCAATCAATAGCTCAATGTCTTGCTCTTTGTTTTTTGCACTTCCAGCTGTTGTTTCATTATTTCTTGCAATCCTCTTTGCTTCCAAATCCTTTCTTATTCCTTGAAGATTTATCACAAGGTCTTGAATATCTTCATCTTTGCCTTCTGCCAAACTTACACAAGTGTGTATCTCTGACCATAAATCATTTAACAATTTTTTCTTGTCTATTATATTAGCACATTGCTCCAACAGGTTTCCTCCCAAGTCAAAAATTGGTTTCTTTAATGCCATAGTAGTCCACCTGTGTAGCATATACTGCTCGGGAATGGTTTCAAACCTTTTTGCTTTCCAAACCCAAATCATATGTCTACATGGAATTCCTTGCCTATAAAATAGCTTGCAAGAACATGTGGTGTCATAGTTAGTTGGATTAAACACAACATCAAATGTTCTAGTCCGATTTCCTTCACTTACTGTTGCAACTTCCAATTCATTTTCTTTCTTCAATTCATCAACACCACAAGAAAAACAAGCAATTTCAACCTTGTATTGAAATTCATAAAAGACAGAGTTAGTATATAAATGTGAGGCATGCTTTTCTATCCTTAGTGGTGTTTTGCACTCAAGATATTTGTGCTTTGAATCATTATCATTCTGACCTTGAGTGTGTCTCTAGGAATCAATTGCAGCTTCATATCTCAAGTAAAACTCAACAAATGACACATGAGGATTGATAAAGGAGCAGAAAAAGTTGTTTTCACTTTCGGATCTTGATGTTGTACGCATTATTCCTCCAAGGAACACATCTCTGAAATAGGCCGGAATCCACTTGTCTCTTATCTTGTACATATAACCTAACCACTCATGTTGTTCCAAGTGGTATTCAATCATCACCTTGTTCCACCTTTCTTCAAACTCGGCAGGTTCAATTTCAAGGTGCCAAACGCAAGCACATAATTTTTTTAGGAAACCAGTTTCTTCTTGCATGATTGATTTCTCCACCTTATCTGGTAACTTTTTCATTATGTGCCACATACAGAACCGATGTTCAGTCTTCTTAAACACACTTCTAATAGCAATTTTCATTGCTGGATCCTGATCTGTGATCATACAATTAGGTTCATTCCCACCCATTTCCTTGAGGAATGATCTGAACAGCCATTCAAATGACACGATATCTTCCTTTGCTATGAAACCAGCAGCAAAATTAATGCAATTCTTATGATGGTCAACGCCTGTAAATGGAGTAAACACCATGTTGTACCTATTTACACATACAAAATAAAGTTTAAATGAGCAAATAATTTAATACTCATTTGAAAAATTATCAAATAATCGATTGCTTATTTGTCAAATGAGAAAATAACTCAATGCTTATTTGTGAAATAAGCAAACAATTCTTTGCTCTTTTGTCAAATGTGCAAATAATTGAATGCTCATTTGTCATATGAGCAAACAACTCAATGCTCATTTGTGAAATGAGCAAACAATTCAATGCTCATTTGTCAAATGAACAAATAATTCAATGCTCATTTGTCAAATGAACATGAAATTCAATGCCCATATACATACTCTTATCAAAGAATATTAGACTTATGGGGATATTCAATTTTCACATAGAAGTAATGAGCAATTAAACTAATTTTATTTAAAACAAAGTCATTAATTTCAGCCATAGCTAGTAATAACACATCAATGAATTACCTATTGGTTTGGTATGTGGTATCAAAGGATACCATATCACCAAATAGAGCATAACTCTTTTTACAAAGGGGGTCTGCCCACAATGCTCTACAAAGGCAATAATATTCATCCATCTCAAAATCAAAGAAAAAAGCGCTCCACATTAGCTTTTTATTGGTAAAGTTATCCACGAACATTTGAGTATCGCTTCCTTGAATGTATGCTTTTAAATCTCTATGAAATTTTTTGAAATATTCCTTAGATGCACCAATGTTTTCATATCCTCCAACAATTTCCTTCATCATTCCAAAAGTTGTAACGGGACCAATATTCACCTATTTAAAGAACAAAACAGTTTGTCACATGAGCAAATAATTCAATGCTCATTTTTAAAATGAGCAAACAATTCAATGCTCATTTGTCAAATGAGAAAAAAATTATTTGCCCATTTGTCAAATGAGCAAACAACTTTTATTAGAACATACATATAATTCATGAAACATAAGAGAATTTGAAACATAAGAGAATTCATGAAACAATTCAATGCTCATTAGGCAAATGAGCAAAAAATTATTTGCTCATTTGTCAAATGAGCAAACAACTTTTATTAGAACATACATAGAATTCATGAAACATAAGAGAATTTGAAAATGTTACCTTAGAATTATTCACAATTATTTTTTTGTGTAAAATGTTCATTTTCCTTCCTTCTTTTTGGAATAGATTGCAGCTAGGTGTATAAAGTGCATGAGTATGTCCCTCATGAAATTTTGTCACTATGAATGTGTTATCATCACAATGCTTTAGGACAATATGTGCCTTGCACCCATCACGAGTAACGAGTCTCTTCCTTTTGATTGAAGCTTTTTCTTCATTGTTTTCCCCTTCCTTGTTATTTAAATCTTTTTCTACAGTAGTCTTTCTTTTCTCTTTGTCCTTCCTTATTGCACAAGATATACTGATATTTTAATTCTTTGCTTCTTCTTTGTCTTTTAGTTGTAGACTTCCTTGTATTGAAACCAAAAGCAAATGCATAACCTTTATAAAATTCAAGGCATTCTTCAAGATTATTAAACTTCATCCCTATAGCTGGTTTCAACTCATTGGGGCATATTGGATGCCATTCTTTTGTTCCTCCAGGAGTGATCAAAGGTGCTACTTTAGGAGAAACTACTATTGTAGGAGTAGTTGGCACATTTGTGATGGTACTTGATTGACTCTCAACTTGGTTGTTGTTGCTCATAATTTGTGAATATGCACCTCCTTAAACACACTTAAACACACACACACACACACACACATACACTCTCAATAATTAGAACTGAAATCAGATTCTTAAACAAACTTACACACACACAGACATAGATACACACTTACACACACACACACACACACACACTCAATAATTTCATAATCTATAGTTATAACTGAAATCAGTTTCTGAAATCAGAATTGCAAGCAGAAAAAGGAGGGGGCAGGGGGGATAGGTTTGCTCATTTGTCAAATGAACATGCAATTCAATGCCCACATATATAAACTCTTACACTCAATCACACTCACACTCACACTCACACTCACACACAGACACACTGTTACACTCACTCACACACACACACTCACACATACACACACACACATACATACACAATTCTGTATACTTAGTGTTTTTATAAGCTAATATTTGCCAACTTATAGATCCTTGAATTACTTATGAATGTCATTAATATTTGCTCATTTTAATTGTAGTTACCTCATTTTAAATGTTCTATTATACATATTTAGGTTTGCTCATTTTAATTTATTTGCTCATTTTGAATTTGATTGAAAATAAGAACATAATAACAGCATTCAATTGAAAATAAAAACCTCTAACAACATAAATAATTGATTCAATCACTATCAAGTTTAATCTGATATTATTAAAATCTCTATCAAATTAATCAAACCTAAATAATTGATTCAATTCAATCAAATAATTGATGCAATTAAATATTCAATTCGATTAATGTAATTCGAAAATTAACATGTAATTCAATTTGAAAATTAACATTTAATTCCAAATTTTTCAAAGATGTAAAATCAAAATATTTTGAACATTCAGATTAACATGCAATTCAAAATTAAAATTACGAACAAACCTCAATGATAAATGAAATTGCGACCGTTGAAATTTGCAAAAAGAAACCGTTGAAAATTGCAGAAAGAAACCGTTGAAATTTGCTGAAAGAAGAGCATACTCAGTGAATCGCCATTGATAAGTAAATCGCCATTGATGAGCTTTGATTTGCAGACAGAATAGAGGGGAGAGATAAATTAAATGCTGAAAGTTAGTTTGTTAGGCAGGCTTATAATCTCAGCAGTTGGATTTCATCTAATCTAGCAGCTGAGTTTTGTTCTCACATAAGGTGTGGGTTCTCACATAAAGGGTTGTTCTCACCGGATCCCGACCCTATATATAATATATATATATATATATTTATATATATAACTATATATTTATAACTATATTTATATATAAAGTTTAATCTTAAAACTATTATTCGGATATCATATGGGTCACAAAACTAGTATTATTATATCATTGGTTTTTATCATTATTAAAGATATCATACATGGCCAATTGTTCTAATCATGACCAAATGGATTTAGACACCATTGGTCATGCTCTTACTAAAACCAAAGTAAGAGTCTCGATTTTTATTGTAAGAAAACCTAGACGTACATTATATAGCCCATGTCATAGAAAATTAGGGACCCATATTATATACAATCAAAGTTATCAGAATAGGATTCTAATTTGAATCGGTGAGTGGGGTAGAATCGAATCGGTAAAATCAAATCGTAGAATCGTACGATTCTACCAAAATGTAAAATTGGGCTTCAAAATGTAACAAATGACTACTTACATGATTTTATAGCAATGAGAATGATAATAATATATATTGTTAATAACATAATATTGACGTACAGACATAAAATAGTTTTTCAAGTAATTTCGCACGCGCATAACTCAAATAATACACTATAAACTATAAATTTGGATTATTGGTACACATTCTTAAATATGAGAGTACATGACAATTGTTGTTAAATTATGAAAAAAGTAATGTTGTTGACTCGTAAAGTTGTTTTCCCTAGATCCATGCATAATAAAAAAAATCCAACAATGATAGAAAACTAAGTGTGAAGTTAGTTCATTTACCTATCAAAAAAAAGTTAGTTTATTTAACGAGATAGCTAAAGAATGAAAATTACAACAAACTCATGTTATAAAAGTGTTTTTTATATGCCCAAACTTGAGTGCATGAGACTCATGAATACATTCTTATGCCTACAAAATTTAAATGGTTGGATAGAATCTTAAAAGTTATTTAAATTGATGTTTCATAAGCTTTATTATGATTTAAGTTGAATAATATGTAAGTCATTCACTAAAGTTAGGTTCAACTACGACACCCTTACACTCTTTAGTCTATAAAATAAAATATATAAATGATATAGGTACAATAATTCTATCAGAAAGTAGACTTCAAGAGATTTCCAATGACATATTATAAGCCTAATTTCGACTTCTGAATCAAAAGTTATGGGTTTCAAAATCAGGTTTTTTTGCAGGAGTAGAATCGGTACCGATTCCACCGATTCTATGAGCGATTCTACAGCATAGCAATTCTACCAGCAATTTACATTGTTTAGGTGGATTAGGATTGTAGAATCGTACGATTCTACGATCCAAATCGCGATTTGAATAACATTGTATACAAGTATTTTACATTAGGATTCCCCTTGTGAGGAAGACTTTCTAATATTTAATTTTGTTATTTAAAAAAAATATTATGTAAGTACATGAAAATAACTTTGTTATATTGTTAAGATTTATTTCTTCGATTAAAATATGTAATATACAGTGATAGAGTATAAACATACCAATTGGTTGTTGGTGTAGTGATGATTGGGACTACACTTGGTAGGGAGGACTAGTGTTCGATCCCCGTAACAACAATTGTGAGGGGACTGGAACCTAACCACCCATAATTGATCCTCGAATATGGATTAGCTTAAAGGGTGAACACCAAAAAATAGAGTATAAAACATATTCCTGAGCCTTAACCATCCGTTTAAGCTTTTGGTTAAGTTGGTCCACTAACATGTTGAGATAGTCCACTATCATACAGTATATTATGTGATTCGCATATTTTTTTTTGACAAGAAGTACTAAAAAAGAAAAACAAACAGAAACAAGAAGGACCAACTAAGCAATTGTTGATAGCGAGCCTGAGCAACCAACCAGTGAGCAAGGGCAACCCACTGATGACGAGGAACCTTGCAAAGTTTGCAGATAGAGATCTGCAAGACAGAAAGTCGAATCTCGTGAAGCAACCAGTGGTAAGAAATATCTCCGTCTCCACCATGTAGTAGAAGAGAAAAAAGATCTGAACAATTAGAGAAGATAAGAAGACGACAAAAGCCTCGACGACCGGCAACCCGAAGAGCCCACAAACATGCCTGTAACTCAGATTGAAGGGCCGAAGAGGAGTGACAAGCTCTTGAGCCACCTCCCAACACAGAATCTGAAAACGTACACTTCCCTAAATATCCAACCTGCTATTGCATTAAGATTCTGAGCACTCAAGGCCCCATAAGAGCAAGTTTAGCCCCAAGTCTTAAGACTTGGGGTGATATCATCAAATTGAGTCTTAAGATTTATACTTAAGACTTTTCCCATTTTTCTTCAAAAATCTCAAGCAAGTCTCAAGTTGAGTCTTGAAATTTCAAGACTAAACTTAAGACTTGAGATTGGGACCCACTTCACTTTTATTTTTATTATCCTTTTTTTTAACACTTTTCTACATATAATATGTCAAATAATTAAGTCTTAGGGCTAAAGTGATAAATTTGTGTAAGTCTTAGTGAGTCTTAACAAGAATTTGATAACATCATTTTCAATGGGAACCACAAAAAATGATGTCACATCAAAGTCTTAAGACTCGGGGCTAAACTTGCTCTAAAAAAGAAGGCAAACGTCAAAGGCAGAGGAGAAGTCACCTTATAGATAGCATGAATCAGAAGCTACCTAAGTAGGGAGAGATGAATTCCCTAACGAGATAACAAGGGACCTGAACCCTTGCGTTAAAAACACTCCTAGAGATCCAATCCTACATCAAATGGAAAATCACGCCAGGAGACAACACTGCTTGTCTAAAAATCTTATGGTCACGCGCAATCCAGACTGCCCAACAAAAGGATACAAATGAGGCTAAACCGTCCCAATTCCGAGAGGAACGAAGCTTAGAGATTGTAT